GTACACCAGGAGGAGAATAGTGTTTAACAGAAAGAAACACAAAGAATAGAAAGAGACAGGATGTATTGAATTTTCATATAGAGGAATGTGTAGCAACCTTCATTTTGTATCCTTATGCAAATATTTTATGATACAGCGTTTAATTACATTATCATACACTGTTTTCTTACCTCCTCATTTAGTGTACAGGATTCATAAACAATAGGAAGAAAGTAAGGATGTATCAGCAACTTGAAGTCTGGTGTTTCCTACCTTCTGACTTCTTAGCTTTCCAACCTAAATAACATCCAAATAGTTTCAAATCCAATCTGAAAAAAAATACTCGCCAAGAAAGTGTAAGAAACCACAGAAAGGAAAAATACATGTTCAGGCATGGAGGCGAGCTATGTGCACAGCTTGGATAATACAAATCAGCAGAAAAGATTTTCTTTCATAAGTAAACACCAGCTATCCCCGCAGGGTGCTTTACAAAGTCACCACTTTTAGCAGTTGCTGAAGAAGTGAGGCTGTTGAAGAGGGATTAATCAGCCCTGGAAACAGAATCTGTGCAAGTATAAAAAGGAGCTATCATATCACGGTAGGAATGTTATCCCCATTGGAGGTGGGGTCTGATGTGTATGATGAATCCATCCAGCTAAAACTAACCAGAAGCCATTTTTCAGTTTGGCAGCTAGGAAAGGACAAAATGAGTGAGCTGATGGAAGAGGCAGAGCAAAAGGCCCATGATTGTGGTGCCAATCATCACAGTAAACAGCTACCCCTTAATCCTTAGGGAGTCATGGGAGTGCAATGGTAACATCTTCAAAGCTCCCTGGAAGAAAAAATGTTACTATGCAGCCACTGGATCACAGTAGAGACTTACTGGTAACTGTCATTCCATAGCTGCAATCAGCAGAAGGGCCCTTTCCGGTTTTGTTGCAGGCAGGTCATATCTGACCAACCTCGTCTCCTTCTGTGACAAGTAACGAACTTAGATATGGGAGACACAGTTGATGTCATATACTTGGATTTTAAAAAGGCCTTCAATATGGTATTCTATGATGCTCTTATAAAAAAAACTGGCGATTTTGGGCTGGCAGAGTCCATGGTCGGGTGAGTTGGGAATTGGCTAAGGAGTCAAACCCAGAGAGCATTAGGGGACAGGTCTGTATTGTCTTGGTGGGAGGTGGCCAGTGGTGTCCTGCAGGGTTTGGTTCTTGGCCCTGTGCTGCTCAACATTTTTATCAATGATTTAGAAGAGGATGTGGAAAGCATGCTGGCTAAGTTTGCTGACGATACTAAGTTATGGCAAAAAGCGGTCACACTAGGGGATAGGATGCAGATCCAAGCAGACTTGGACAAGCTGGAAAGGTGGGCGGAGTGGGACCTGGATGCAGTTCTATAAGAATAAATGCAGAGTGCTTCATCTGGGGAAAAGTAAACAGAGATGAATATAGATTAGGAGATGCTCTGGCCAGCATGATGGCTGAAAGGGACCTCAGGGTTATGGTTGATCATAGGATGAACATGAACTGCCAGTGCGACTCTGTAGTCAACAGAGCTGGTAGCATATTGGGATGCATTAGCTGATGCATTGTGAGCAGGGCTAAGGAAATGATACTTCCTCTCTACTCAGCACTGGTGAGACCCCAGCTGGAGTACTGTGTCCAGTTTTGGGTGCTGCACTTCAAAAAAGACATGGAGAATCTTGATAAAGGCCACAAGAATGATTAAGGGCCCGGACCTTATGAGGAAAGACTAAAGGATCTGGGAATGTTCAGCCTGGGGAAGAGCAAGACTAAGGGGGGACTTGGCGGCTGTCTATAAGTATGTAAGGGGTGAATATCGGGAGCTGGGAGAAAAAACGTTCACTAGGGCAGTGCTTCCCAACTGGTGTGCTGTGGGATGTCCAGGTGTGCTGCAGCATTTTGGGCTGGAGCCATGCCCCCCGCCTGCTGCTGCTGTGGGCAGCCAGCCAGACTGGCAAGGTGTGGGGGGGTGGCTCCAGCCAATGATTCAGATGCTGCTCTGCAGCGTTCAGCCGCTCGGTACCCAATCCCCCTCCTTCTTCCCTCCTGACTCTGTAGCGTTTGGCCGCTTACTACCCGCCCCTCCTCCCCCACCGCTCAGCTGGTGTGCCGTGGGGTGGGGGAGACCAAGTAATTTTTTGTGCCAGGTGAAAAAGGTTGGGAAAGGCTGCACTAGGGTGCTTCAGGGGAGGACAAGGAGCAATGGCCATAAACTGGTAGAGGATGGTTTCAGGTTGGCTGTAAGGAAGAACTTCTTTAGTGTAAGGGTGACCAGAACCTTGAATCTACTTCCCAAGGAGGTGGTGCAGTCCCCAGCCTTGGAAGTCTTCTAGAGGAGACTAGACAGACACCTTGCTAAGATTATTTGATCTCAGCAGCCCAG